GATTTTGTTTGAGCCAGCTCTTTAAATTCACCCCGCTGGATTGGGCAGTAGGGGATTAAATTATCGACAAAATCGATTATCGCTTCTCATCAATGATTGCAAGGCTCTTCTATTCACCACCAGATGCTGAACAAAACACGAAATTGCATTCGTTAGCTAAACTTTGTTGAAACTTTGAAAGTTAGACAAAAGACCGGCGCCGTTGAGCCTTTAGTTAGTTAACGAATTACGATGCTACAGTTATTCCTAATTAATACAACTTTTTCGTCGATCTTCTTCTTTTAGGTTTTTACGCTGTTGTAGCCAGCTCTCAATTTAGTGTTCTAGACGCACTTCAACGGTTATTAATCGAGAGCTTTTTATGCAAACCAATGCATGGATTTGTATGAAGTGATCAAATTGGGTTGTTAGTGGAATTCTAAAAAAAAAAGCAAAAAGGTTTTAGTGGGATTGACACTGATAAAGACCACGCATTGTAGTCGAAATACGTATCTGTCATGGATACAAAAATTAATTAAGTGGAATTAAATGGAAGATAACCTATTTTCTGATTTTTTAGCATTTCACTAACAACCCAATTTCATCATTATGGTTACAAAAATTATTTAAGTGGAATTAATCTGTATGAATTTGTATATTTTGTTACAAACACAATGATACAGAGAAATTGAGAATATTTTTAACTCGAAAGATTTTCTCTACCGGACCGAACCCGCCGCTTCCGCCGTAATACCATGCCTTTACCGACTAGGTTATCTGAGGCCCCTTTTTCGTCAATACCTATCAAATCATAGTCAAAACAACATCCATGCGTAGTGCGGTATTAAGTCATTACTCAACATACAGTATCGAAAACTGTAAAATGTTACATGCATATTCAATATCATAGAAGGCATCCGATCAGCACGTGCCGTTAGCGTTGAAAGTGTAAATTCGTTTAGATAGCGCGTGCTTTGATAGCACTACTTCCGCTTTTTTTTTTGCTACAATTTAACAATCCATCCATTTTCAAATTATTACGAAAGGCCTCCATTCGATTTCGTATCCCCAATATATCGATTGGACATCGAAATTGCTTAATTCTACGTATCACCTGCGTGATACATCGATTGTAAAACTACACTGTTTATGTTACTCAACACAGCACATTCATATACTGTCTACGAACGGAAGACAGGTTGAGTTAGGCACCAAAAATAAAAACGAAACCGAAAGCCGCTGAATACCGGAGGTGAATGGGCGTAAAAAGAAAAAGAAAATTCAGTCGCAAATTAGTTGACCACCCGCACCACGCACCGTGAACCGGTACAAGATTGTAGACATTAGCGGTAGCCGGCATCACGTCACGCGCCATTATTTACTTTCATTGTGGCCGTCAAAAAGAGAGTATGATATGTATGATAAACAACACTGTTGTTGTGTGACTACACAGACAGGGAGAAACAAAAATGACGATAGAGTGAAATTGATTCGCACTAATTCATTCGTCAAAGTAAATCGTGTGCCAAGGAAGGTGAAGTGGACGGTAAGTGTGCGGTAGATGTAATCAAGCAAATAATCGGGTTCGTCGCTTGCACAATTTACAGCAACGTACACGTTGAACTTTATCGTTGTGATTCAATGATTATATTCGCATGCGGATAATGGAGTTCGCAAAAAATAGCGAGTTATTAATGGCGACAGGTGGTTTGATTTGTCTGTTGGGTTTGGGAAATACCCGAAATCATCTGATTCAGTGTGGATAATTGAATGAAAAAAAAAAATCGATGCAAGCTTGGAAATGAGCGACTATCAAAGCCATGTAAACATTGAACTTGAATCTCACATCGCACAGTCTTGGTCATGTATAAGGTAACAAGACAATAGAAATTTACTCAAAATCAAGCTTGCGATTGCTCATTACAGCTAAAATGCCATTATTTGGAATTATGAAATTATGAGATATTAACATTGTATTTTATATTTGTAGGATGCAGGACGAAGAGGTAAAGTTTGTGTGATACATAAAACTTGTCAAATTCTCTTTCAAAGAGTCATAATTAGCGATTTTATGATCGCTGATTGCTCACTCATGACCAGACATGACAAATCATGTACATTCATTTCGTGCATTCATTTACATTCATTTGCCTCTAACTTTTTTTTATCAAAAGAATTCCGTAAAATAATGTTTGTAACTTTTAAAGAGTTTAATATTACGTAAAACTTTTGTCCGTAACTGAAATCTGTACCTCTTATGCATGACGAACTAGAGCGGGCAGAACTTGTTATTATTTTTCAGTGAATGTAATTTACATTCACTGTAAAAACAAAGGTGGGTTCTGTTTGCTCTTGTTCATCATGCATAAGAGATACATATTTGATTCATTGGCAAATGTTGTAGCTAATATCAAAACATACAAAACCTTCATGCATCATTTTACGGAATTCTGTTGACGAAAAAAGATAGAGGCAAATGAATGTAAATGATTGCACGAAATGAATGTAAATGATTTACCATGCCTGCTCATGACACATTTTGTTTTGTCTTTTAATTTATTTGATAAGGCTCAATAGAACTAACTTTACAAATCCGAGGATTTAAGCGATGCCGGTGGTATAGTGGTAAGCGTGATTGCCTCTCACCCCAGCAGGCCTGGGTTAAATCCCAGTCGGCACCGCCGGGATGTTCTGAGGCATAACATCTCTGATCACGTCTTCCTTCGGAAGGGAAGTAAAGCCGTTGGTCCCCGGTTCATGAGTTGATGGGTCGATAGGTATGGTCCAGGTGTGGGAGCTGCCTCCCTGGCGTCGGTAGCATTGGTGCTCAGCACGAAAAACAAGATCAACGGAAAACAAATTAAGGGGAAAAAAGAGCCGAGGATTCTTGTTCACTATACAAAACACCGTTAAACCATATTCACAAGGTACAACACAATAAACACTTTATCTTCCGCAATCCAATCAGAACGGGAACCGATTCCAGTGGTTTCATTGTACAGCAGTATTGCCAAGGGGGGCAGAGCGCTTCAATTGCAGCAATGAACGCAAAACGTTGTCATCACTCACACGTTCATAACGAAACGGTTGCTTTCCTAAGTCGACGACACATCGACTGAAAGAACTGTTGATGAATAACAATGAGGAGGACCACACAATGCACAATGGTCCCAAAGCCGTATTTAGGAAGACAAAAATGTTTGCGCTAAAACCGTTAGTTTTAGGCATATGGTGTCTTGCGGAAAGTTTCTTCATATTTTTTGGCCAATTTTTTTATGTTAGTGAAATTAGGGTGGTCCATACAATTCGTGAATTAAAATGTGAACTTTTTTATTATGTAAGATAGACCAGTGCAATGTTGTAGAAAGTTGCAGAACAATCAACTTGCGGCACCTTTGCTGAAGCCACCAAACTTTCATCTCTTATGGTTCATGAGTTATGATTTTTTTTAAACAAGCAAGTTAGGGTGGCCCCTGAAAAATTGGTTTTCTATGAATATCTTTTCATACGTTCATTTCTCGTAAAACAAATGTTGTATACACTTTTAGAACTTTCAATGACAAATACAAATGAAAAAAATAATTATCTTTCAAATGGAATTAAAAACTTGAAAATCGGTTTGCTCCTTTTAGAGACATTGACAATTGAAAAATGCCAGTTTTTTGAAGAAATTCGCCTTTAACTTTCCAATAAAAAAAGATAGCAACTTGGTTGCTTGAGCAACAATATTTGTCATTGAAAGTTCTAAAAGTATTTTGAACATTTGTTTTACAAGAAAGGAACGTATGAAAAGATATTCATAGAAAACCAATTTTTCAGGGGCCACCCTAACTTGCTTGTTTAAAAAAATCATAACTCATGAACCTTAAGAGATGGAAGTTGGGTGGCTTCAGCAAAGGTGCGCAAATTGATTGTTCTGCAACTTTCTACAGCATTGCACTGGTCAATCTCACATAATAAAAAAGTTCACATTTTCTATTCACGAATTTTCTGGACCACCCTAATTTCACTAACATAAAAAAAATTGGCCAAAAAATATGAAGAAACTTTCCGCAAGACACTATATGCTCAAAATCAACGGTTTTAGCGCAAACATTTTTGTCTTCCTAAATACGGCTTTGGGACCATTATGAGCGTTGTAGATCATCTGCTGATGGAACTGACTCCAACGATGGAACCGTATCTGAAGGAAAGAAGAAAATAAAAAAAATTTATAACTGCAATTTCTGCCGGTAATCGCAAGTCAGTCCCATCTGCATTTTAATCAATTTTGAGTTAGCATCATTATTCAGTTTATCTTTCTATGTTTTTTGAGATGTGCTATTGAAAAAAGGTGGTTTGTTTAAGAAAAATGAAAAACAATACCAAGTCAAACTGTCCCACACCGAAAAGTAACCGCAAGTCAGTCCCATTAGAAAAAAATATGTTAGAAATGTTAGACAACACATCGCATCATGAGATTTGTCTCAAGACAGATTTTGTCCACTTCCCCTAGGGTATCTGGAACATATCCTGATGTGGCCAATATAGTTCTTACGATACTCAGTTTGACCGCCAATGGATGGCTTTGAATTCTCATGTGATTTGATGTATCGCTTGATGGATTTTGATTTAAAAAGGATTTACCACTTCCTCGGGTATACCCGGAACATGTCCGGGTTTGGCCAACATGGTGCTGGTCACTGATAATGACTCTTATCGATCTTATTTTTGAATTCTCATGTGAATTATGTGAATAATCAATTGATTTATCGCATGGTGGGTTTGGCACGTTTATGAAAAGCTCTGGTCTGATGAAGACCCATTGTTCGCGACCGAACCGTTCGCTCCGGAAAGACTGCCAAATGAAACCAAACGACGCACACCAACAGAAGCAGCGGCAGCAGTAGAAGCGACGCACACCAACAAAGGCAACCTAAAAGAAGAAACCGTAGAATAGCGCGCAACGCTCCGGCAGATATGAGGTGAGTTTGCCATTCCGCGAATCGGTGCACGAGCTAGGAGACAACCGAAACTTGGCCATGCATCGGTTCCTTTCGTTAGAGCGAAGATTCAAGAAAAATCCGGAGCTAAAGCAACAGTATTGTCGATTCATCGATGAGTATGAAGCATTGGGGCATTGTCAAGAGGTGAACGAAGCCGATGATATTCCCAATCAACGAGTGTATTATCTCCCGCATCAAGCCATCCTACGTCCATCGAGTTCGACAACTAAAATTCGAGTTGTTTTCGACGCCTCTGCCAAGGCATCCCGGTACGAGAAGTCATTGAACGACGTTCTTCTAGTTGGAGCAACACTGCAAAGCGACATCTTCAGTATCCTGTTACGTTTTCGGAAATATAGGATAGTATTCACTGCTGACGTTTCAAAAATGTTTCGACAGATACGCATGGCACTACTTCACGCGTGTTTCCAACGAATTTTCTGGCGGTCAAGCCCGGAAGAACCCCTCCGTGTCCTGGAACTCACAACCGTTACTTACGGGACAGCTGCAGCCCCATTCTTGGCGACCAGATGTTTGATACAGCTCTGTGACGATGAAGGCGACTCATTTCCACTCGCTGCACGAATCATCCGCCTAGATTGTTACGTCGATGATGTCATCTCAGGTGCGAACACCGTAGAGGAAGCCATCGCAAGTCAAACCCAAATTCAACAGCTACTTGAACGAGGTGGATTCCCGGTCCACAAATGGAGTTCTAACACAACAGAAGTTCTGGAAAACGTTCCAGAAGCCGACCGTGAGAAATTAGTACGTCTGGACAACACCTCAATCGACGTTATGAAGACATTGGGATTGATCTGGAGCCCACAACGAGATGAATTTGTGTTCAGCACCAATCAAACCGATCGAGAAGCAAGCCATCCTACGAAGCGAACGGTGTTATCTGAAATTGGCAGACTGTTCGATCCACTGGGTCTTGTGACGCCGGTAACCATTATCGCCAAAATGATCATGCAGAAGATTTGGAGATCCGGTCTCCCGTGGGATACCCCGTTGGAAGGAGAACTTCTACAATCCTGGAAACAATTCCGTGAAGCCCTACTCCTGGTAAGCGAAATCAAGATTCCTCGATGCACCATTTCTTCTGATGCCACCACCATCGAAATCCATGGCTTCTCCGACGCCTCGGCGGCTGCTTACGGAGCGGTCATTTATATTCGCTGTATCCTACCGAATGGTATGGCTCGACTCAACATGCTGTGCAGCAAGTCCAAGGTCACCCCGATAGCTGAATTGAGCATTCCACGCAAAGAATTACTCGGTGCCCGGCTACTTGCCCGGCTGCTCGTAAAAGTGCTGGACTCCCTTCAACTAGATGTATCGCAAGTTGTTCTGTGGTGCGACAGTCAGGTGGTACTTGCCTGGTTGCGGAAGCCGTTATCATCCCTTGAAGTGTTTGTGCGCAACCGCGTAGCAGAGATTTTGAAGAGCACCGAAGGCTACACGTGGAAGTACATCAAATCGAAACAAAACCCAGCAGATTTAGTATCCAGAGGTCAATTTCCACACGCCCTGAGCACCAATGAACTTTGGTGGAATGGGCCGACATTTCTAAGCACCGCCCAGTACCAGTCGGAACTTCCCGATGACATCGCAGATGAAGATCTTCCGGAGTTGAAAAAGGTAAATGTAACCGCCATTCCAGTCGTTAACGAGGAGAAGATGGAAGTATTTTCTAGGTTCAGCTCGTTCAGAAAGCTTCAACGGGTAATCGCGTTGGTCCAGCGATTTATCCGTAACTGTCGACTGAAATCTCGCAACGAACGAGTCCTCCAACGTCATCCTACAATCCAAGAACTACGCTCGGCTTTACAGCTGATTGTAAGGGTCATTCAGCTTGAATCTCTGGGTGACGAAATTCATCGTGTGACATCCAACGAACCGTGTAAGAAAATTGCTGCTCTGAATCCGATTTACAACGATGGAGTGCTGCGCGTTGGAGGAAGGCTTCAACATTCCCTGCTACCTTTTGAAACCAAGCATCCACTATTACTTCCTAAACATCCGATCACCGATCAAATCATCCGTACATACCACGAAGAGAACCTGCATGTTGGTCCAACTGCCCTATTGGCCGCTCTCCGATCACGTTTTTGGTTGCTGGATGGAAGGTCGTCCGTCAGGAAGATTACCAGGAGCTGCATCACATGTTTCCGGTCGAAGCCTAAAGGTTCTATTCAACTGATGGGAAATCTGCCGCCCTGCCGAGTAACACCCGCTGAACCGTTTTTGAAAACTGGCATTGACTATGCCGGACCAGTATTTGTCAAGGAAGGTCGTCACAAACCGAAAATTGTCAAGGCCTACATCGCGGTGTTTATCTGCATGTCAACGAAAGCTGTCCATTTGGAATTAGTTTCCGACATCTCTACCGCCGCGTTCCTAGCTGCACTTCAGCGCTTCGTCAGCCGACGGGGCATTTGCCGAGAGGTCTTTTCAGATAATGGCTCCAACTTTAAGGGAGCCAAATCCGAATTACATGATCTATATCTCCTCTTTCGCAGCCGCAATGCCGTTGACGAGATAGCATCCTTCTGCCAGCCAAAAGAGATCTCCTGGAAATTTATCCCACCGGAAGCTCCTAATTTTGGCGGCCTCTGGGAGAGCGCAGTGAAGACCGCTAAGTATCACCTGAAGAGGACTCTAAAAAACGCCAAATTGACTTTTGAAGAGTATGCTACAGTCCTTAGCCAAGTGGAGGCTATAATGAATTCCCGGCCTCTCTGTTCAACACCAGATCCAGACGACGAAATTTTGACACCTGGCCATTTTTTGATTGGCCGTCCTCTGATAGCCACGCCGGAGCCTAGCTACAATGAGATACCAACCAATCGCCTGTCAAGATGGCAGTATCTACAGTACCTCCGTGAGCAGTTCTGGAGACAATGGAGCCGGGACTACTTGTTGAACCTGCAACTGAGGGGGAAAAACCGCCAAAGACAACCAAACATTCGCCCTGGTATGCTCGTGCTGCTTGAGCAGAAGGATATCCCACCGCAATGTTGGAAGATGGGAAAGGTCGTCCAGATTTACCCAGGTTCCGACAATTTGGTGCGAGCGGTAGACATCAACGTCGAAGGTTCCATCTATAGACGAGCGGTATCCAAATTATCCGTCCTTCCGATTGCTGACAATGACGACCAAAACATCGATTCAGTGAATTCTTCCCAGCCTGGGGGGAATATGTTCGCGACCGAACCGTTCGCTCCGGAAAGACTGCCAAATGAAACCAAACGACGCACACCAACAGAAGCAGCGGCAGCAGTAGAAGCGACGCACACCAACAAAGGCAACCTAAAAGAAGAAACCGTAGAATAGCGCGCAACGCTCCTCCCATTGTACGTTGTCGGATCGGTGAATAAGTATAAATAAAGCAGCCCATTCGTGAATGAGCTGAGTTATTTTTTGTATTGCACACGGTTAATATCGGAGAATAAAAGATAAAAAGTTAAAACTTGTCCTCCTTTTATTCTGCCGCTTTCGAAACCGCATTCGCTGGACTGGTCGACCAACTGACTCGATTCTGCTTGTTTTCCGCCTTGACGAGGAGAATTCACCGCCTTGGTGCCAAGGAGCGCGCCAACACCCATACTCACCGGAATACGTTCCGGCCTTTGCTCTGGAACCAGCAAAACAAATCCAGAAACATTCAATAACGTTCTATGGGACCATGGTATCTTTCTACTGTTCAATACTGTGCTAAACTAATGCAGCATCGTCATAGAATTGAGACTGACTTGCGGTTATTTTTCTCTTTGACGTTAAATGTAACCGCAAGTCAGTCCCATTCAGATTTTGGCCATAAAATAAAAATTTCACGATATTTTTTTCTATATTTTATGGTAAACATAGATGCATTCTATCACATTGTACGTTTATTTTTAAATTTATCCCTCAAAAAAAAGTGTCAAATCAGAAAAGTTGTAAAATCTTTGAACGCCGTTTTCTCATTTCCAGTTTTTTACAGATGGGACTGACTTGCGATTATGGGCAGATTAGGAGGTTGCAGTTAAAAGTTGATAGAATCATCAGGATGACTGTTCTTACCCAGCTCATCTACGGATTGATGGCCAATCGTTGATGGACCTTGATCATCACTATGCTGCTACCCACTAAGTGACGGTTGGATATTTACTTCATTTCCAACCGATCGGCGTTTTTTCATAACTGGACTTCTATTATGAGATATCACGCTACGGCATGACTCACAAATGCTCATCGTTTCATCAATTTTGTGGCTATATCCCATAGAATGTATTTTTTCTACCATCGTTGACGATATGGCCTTGGTAACTTATTTCCGTTGCATCTCGGATTATTTATATTTGCACATTTCAATCCTTTGAGCCTTAATTTACTGCTTTGGTCCATGATAATAATTTTACTAAAACTTGTCTTCGCAACTTTTGTTATCAGATGGACTGCTGCTTGTATCCTTATCAACCTTAGTTTTATAGTGCTCATTGTGTTTTTATTAGGGAATTTGTGCTATTTGCCATACAAAGAAACACTGCCCAAGTCAAACTTTTGGTTTTATGAGGATTCTGTAGATCATGACTTAGACTTGTAGCATTTTTTAACACCGCTATAAAACTTGCAATGTTACTAGGGTGAGCTGTCTGCTAGAGTTCTGCACAGGGTTAATAAAATCTAGTTCAAGGTTTATTATACTTACACCATCGATTAAAGCCAGAACCATACGCATATCATTGTTTTTTTTTCAAGCAAACAATAGAGCATATAATGATCATTAATAATTACTTATACCAGTGTGTTGTTTTCTTCCGTTGTTAATGGTGACTGACTGGTGAGAAAACGTGCCACCTTTTGCTCGTAATGTTGCCAAGTGTTCGCTCTCCTCGGTACCTCGCGTGACGGCACGCATAAGTGGGTGATAATGTGAAAAAGACACTTGCGTTAAAAGCACTTAAGGCAAACGTTTTCTTCTCCTCTATTATGTATCTGGCTCGTGTTGGAAGTCTTTACCTGAGGTTTTTTCATCAAATTTTTAGACTAATATTCACCGCTTGATGCTTCAGGCATTGAGAACCTTCGTGGTTCGTTGACCCACATTTTGACTTAATTTTTTTTTTGGCAAATACATCACACAAGAACACCGGCACTTTTTCATGTTTGATCTGCGCAGCTTGACCTTTGCTGAAAAAGCGATCATTCATGATTTAAAGATTCAGTTTTCATTCAAGTGCACTCAGCGAAACGAAGCAATATTTCAAAATATTTTTTTACCTTTTCGGTTCAAATCGTAAGTTGCAACGGTATGTAACGGGAGCTATTGTAAAACATTCAACGAGTTCCATCCGTATGAGCATTATTGAAAACATTGAGCTTGTTGTTCCTTTCCCACCCCACATCATTCTTCCTACCTATAGGTATATCAAAAGTGATTAAATAGAGCGGCATTCGTCATTATCAGTTCCTGCCTCCCCAGCACAACAATTAAGTCATTGCTCGTTGATTGATAATCACATGACGGCAGGCACCGTGCCCCCTATTGCCCTACAAAAACCACCACGGCAACCGGTTATTAGTAGGCTCATCAAGACCATCGACCCCATAGCCCGTGTGGTGTAGGTCGCCCAACAGACTGACCTACCTCAAGAGCTGGTTCCCATTCGGTGATCTCATTGCCGCGCGGAATCGGTCTTCACTGTACCACACGGTGGAGCGACGCAGCGGAACACTACGAATTTACTTAGTTTTTCTCAGTCTTCTTACAACTTGAATCGTTCTTATTTTTTGCTCGAGGTAAATTAATTTCGGTCGTACTGGCGAGGCAGTTAATCGCTCACTTTTACTTTGTCTGCAATTTAAGCGTTGGGATTTTCGATTTCCATAGTTGAGATTCTTGTCGATTATGTTGTGGCTTGTCTTAGATTCAGTGTCTTGATTTGCTGGGCCCATTTTTAATTTAACCCATTTTTTGCTCATTTGTTACGGGTGGGCTTAAATTAGCTATAATTTTAAAGATTATGCTCACCGAAGGGGAAAAAGGTGTAATTTACTAGACTGCTAGATGAATGCGCTTTTGATTGCAGATTTTTATTAGACACGGCAGAATGCGTGCATAAACAGCCTTGAAAAAAAATTTGTTGATGTTGTTGCCGCAGTGCACAGTGGTCCAGGAAGTGCTTTTGTCTTAAGTTTTAGGTGTTTGGTGTCTTCAATATACTTTTTGTTGGTTTGAAAACTCCTTCTTTAGACCGTTTTATTTTAGATTTATTTTAGACACTTGATCTCGGTTAAAATTGTAGCTGTGATAAGTTCAAGCTACTTTGTTGACGAAATATTTTTCATCTCTTAACGTTTTCATTTTAGAACAACTTTTCAGAGCTGTCATTGGGTGTTCTTGAAAAATTGTGTTTTTGATCTCTATCTTTTTATTTAAAATTTCCCAAAAAAAAGTCGCTTTTAGATAACTTTTAGAGCTTTTAAACTCTCTAACCTCCAACGTCAAAAACTACCCCATTTCAATTCAAAATATTTTTTGGAATAAAAATTATTTTTCTTTAACCCTTTCGAACATGCGTAGTCATATATGACCACGCTCTATGATTGGTTGCACGAAATCAAAAGTAATAGATAGCTATATACTTTCTCCAGTAAAGTTGTAGTTGTGGATGTCAGTTATACAGGACAAATATGGCAGCAGCAGTTTATAGTTATTATGTTAATAAGCACATACCTTAACCTGGACAGCGACGATATCTTTAGCAACGAATCATGCACTGCCATGTTAATTCAACCCAATTTGACAATTCTACAGGTCAGTAGGGTCAGTATGTAACTGTTTAGTCGAGGCGACACAGTGATTCTTCGTTAGAAATTTGCCAAGATAGTTATTGATACAGTCAAACAGTTTCCAAACTCGTTTGTGAAAGTTTGAATCCATAGAGTGAGATTGGACAAATCATGATTTACAAGATCGATTCTAGCTTGCTTTTTTAAATCTTAGAGAAAGGGGATGCTATTTGAAGATTGATAACACATACTCAAACATGTACACGAGGCGTTACTTCCCTGAGATACTCCAGAGGTGCTGGTAAACGTAGAAGAGACACAATATCCTAGTCGTACTTCAAGCGCTCGTCCAGTCAAGTAGGAATGTAACCACGACCTAAGTTGCTCAGACGATCCTAGTCGGGAAAGCTTGCATAACAAAACCTTCTGGTCGATTGCGGCTTCCAGATCAGTATATATGACGTCGACTTGTGCCTTATCCTCCATCGCGGTGATGCATTTACTGGCGGAATCCAAAAGATTAGTAGCTACCGATCTACCGGGAATAAATCCATGCTGGTCAGTTGAAATGTAGTTCTTCGAGCGAATCAGGACAAATGCGCTCAGGATGATCTCAAACAGTTTGGACGTTGCTGAAAGACTGGGTATACCTCGAAAGTTCATAATATCCCGTTTATTGCCAGCTTTGAAGAGAAACAGATACGACTGCTTCCACAATTTTGGGAATTTTCCTTCCTCAAAGGATGCATTAAATATGGCTGCTAAGGCAGCTGAGCAACGGCAGAACACCACTGTCGGAATTCCATCTGGACCAGGGTGAGTGAGGTTTTCAGTCTCCTTGCTGCTGAAAGTACCATATCCCGAGTTACTTCGAATGTGCTCAGTTCCATTAAGTCACTAGGCGTATCAGAGGCAGCAGACTCAGCTTCAACGTCACTTGTCATATTTTTATCGAAGACAGATGCAAAGTGTTCAGCAAACATCTCACACGCTTCGCTAAGAGAAGTGGACTCTTTCCCATCGAGTAGCATGTTGGCCGGTATACTCGAATCTTTCCTTTAGCTGTTGACAAAGCTCCAAAAATTTCGGGGTTACGCCGCAAATTCCACTGGACTCTGAGGACGTGTGATTTGTACAAGGCACTGTTAAGTTTAATGTAAGCGATACTGGCACGCTTGAATTCACGCTTCGTGTCAGCTGTTCTGTGACGACGTAGTTTTCTCTGGACTGCGTTACGCTCACGCTTCAGCACTCTAAGCTGAGGAGTACTCCAAGCTGGGGAAAATAAAAAGAGCATGCATATCCAATCCATGTAAAATTAAATTGGTTTTTAAATTTACACGACTTGAAATTTACATGCATGTAAAATTAAACATCACTTGAGTTTTAAATGGATGGCTTTGGATGGGCTCACCTTGAATTTTACAGGACATTTAGAATTACACGCATTTTGTTTTTTGAACGAATTTGCATAAAACCGAACTGATTTTTAAATACGCGGAAGTATTACCCAGGTGGAATAACCCGCCTTCACGGCACAGTACATACCCAATAAACAT